ACTTGTGTTTGGAAACTGGAAGTGACTTTGATTCTCCATAGTGGTCACTGAAGTCAGGATTTAGGCTACCAAGTCTGGGGTTTCTGCTGTTTATAGATCAAGTAGTGTTTTAATAGACTGACCTTTAATTTTGTTCCTTAGAAATACCATGCTCAGTTCGAAGCTCCGTCTCAAAAAAAAAAAAAAAAAAAAAAAACACCAACACAAACAAAAACAAAAAACCACATTCAGTTAAGTACTTCTAAAGGTGTCTGCAGGTCTTGTACGTCACAACCTTCTTGATTGTCACTTTCTGTCCATGCTGTGCATTAACATGATTGTTCTTACCTTTTCTCTGTCAAATTTTACCATTTGACCTCTGCCACTCTGGAATCTGATCAGCTTGTTCAGGAGTCTTTCTCAATCATGCCATCTCCCCATGTCATTCCCAACTCACAGAAAACAGTCACCACAGAGTTTTTCAAATACAGATTCCCTTACTAATGTATTTTAAAATGCTTTAATACTGTATCCTCCAGGACCTCATGGATGATGTATAGGATGGTATGTATATATTCAGATTATATATGGTAAATCTACTCCAGCATTCCTGTTTCTTTAAGCATCTGTATTTCTTCTACATTATGCTAGGAAGGTTCAGGCATCTCATCCATATGAAATGTGGACTCTTTTGAGAGTTTTCATTTAGCCAACTAATAAACTATTAAGAGTTTAAGCTAAGAGCTTTCACAAAAGTGGAGGCTAGCATTCTCAGTCATGGGAGAAGGAGCTGTTCACCAACGTATCCTCATTCCATATCTTAGGGCCTCACTCCTTCCAAAACAAAGGAAACTTAGAAAGTATGTTTATTCAACTTTCACCATAATTCTGCAATCTGCAAAATTAAATTTTGGACCAATTCTTGGCAGAGTTGTACCTGTGGTTACAACAAGTAAGAAACTTTTAAAAGGCTATTTTTAAAATTTTGTAGCTATCTTGTCATGACTTGAGCTGAAAGTTAAAAACTTAAAAACTCTGTATCATTTTCTTTTTTAAGTCTCCAAGTCAGAAGCAGCCATCCGCAAGTCCTTGGTGTCATTATTACCATCAAAATAGTCAAATCAAACAGTAATTTGGTTCTCTTAGACACTTGTTTCAATAGGCATATCATCATAATTAGCTACAGGTGATAATGCAGTAATCATTATGCCAATGCATGGAATGCATCACTAGTATCCCGTTTATTATTGACAAGGAGCTAGCAGTGAATTGAAGGTCACGGTCACATAATCAAGCCAATTCTTGAATCCTGTCTTTGAGAGTATGTTTCCTGGGAACTCTTTACTGTATCAGGATCCAATCAGGAAAATGAAACATACTAGATATTTCAGCAGAGGAAATTTAAGGTAGGATTGGTTACATAGGTATAGAAGACTGAAAGAGCAAAAAGAGGTAACATGGATATGATAAATGCCAGAGGAAGCTACCACTGTTAGGTTTAGGGAACAGAGGGGTTTAACAGAACCATGAAGCACAGAGGAGCTTCATGAAGCTGGGGATCAGACCTCTTTGAATGTACACTGTCCAGCTGCTGCTCGTGTTTAAGGGAATATCAAGAAGCTGGTTATAAGAGTGCTGAAAAGAGCTGAAGACTGGAACCCACCTACAGGGTGATGCTGATGGAACTGTATACAAGCAGGAAAAAAGAAGTCTGTCCTCCCTTCGTTACTAATCTCTACTAATCTCCTCTTTAACTACTAATCTCTAGATAGCATCTCATCTTGGTAGAATCTAACAGGAAACCATCTAGCAGAAGAAAATACAGTTTTGCAGAATACTGGCCCCAGCATCCCAGAGTAGACTATATAGAAAGGTGGATTTGAAGTCAAAAAACAGTAAGTCAGTGACTAGCTTTTTCTTAGGTTTTTCTTCAGTTCTGAGAAGTTATGACAAACTTTAGAGATGTGGAATGTCATCGCACAGATTCTGTTCATAGATGTTTAAGAGCTCACTTTAGATTTCAGCTGTGGGATTCTTTCCTGCCTTTGGACATTTTCTTGGTTCCTATGTTTTTTTGTACAAGATTACTTTCTTTGAATTTAACAACTAGGAGAAAGGATAGGTTTTTGTCTTGGATCAGTGATTACTGGATTATCTGAGCTCTGTTGATTGAAAAACTAACTGTTTTTGAACTTTTTGGAATATGATTTACAATGAGAAATACTTGGAGTTGCAAACACATGTACATATACAACTATGTAACAGAATAAAAAGTTTTATGGAACAATAGTTGGTCCTGTTAAGTGACACAATACTGATAATTTCTATTCTAATCTTTAAAAGACTGATCACAACTCACCAAGTCAACGATGTAATCTATAGTTTGATGAACACTGTTCAAAGCAGTAGTATGAAGAAGGGAAATTAAATAAAAAATAAAAATAAATATAACTATTTTTCTGCTTAATTGAAAAACAATTGAACATTGTTTTTTCTTAAATTCAGGTTGAGAAGAAAGATGTTTTAGAGCTGGTCTTGAGTTCTAGTGGTTGTGAAAGATACATACCATACTGATGTTGCAGTTGAAACACTCCTATGGTTCCCTCTCTCCCCACCTCCTTCTCTCAGAGAGGAAAAAAGAGAAGTGGCAATACATGTGATAAATTAAGTCAGAGAAAAGCCAAATTTTAAAATAATTATTCCTCTACTTGTTAGTTTGGCAAATATTTGAGTGCCTCCTATGTATAAAATCTTAAGCTCAGGGCAGAGGATACAGCCATTAAAAACACAAACAAGGCCGGGCGTGGTGACTCACGCCTGTAATCCCAGCACTTTGGGAGGCTGAGGCAGGCAGATCACGAGGTCAGGAGTTTGAGACCAGCCTGGCCAACATCGTGAAACCCTGTCTCTACTAAAAATACAAAAATTAGCTGGGTGTGGTGGTGTGCACCTGTAGTCCCAGCTACTCAGGAGGCTGAGGCAGGAGAATCGCTTGAACCCAGGAGGTGGAGGCTGCAGTGAGCCGAGGTCACCCCACTGCACTCCAGCCTGGGCGACAGTATGAGACTTTGTCTCAAACAAACAAACAAACAAACAAAAAACACAAATAAGAGATTTATTCTTGTGGTGCTTATATTCCAGTGGAGACATCGATGTCAAATCATTAATTATACAACTAACTTTATAATTATAGTTAGTAGTGTGGAATTAGACCTAGTGCCCTGAGTTGAAAAACATTCAATCTGAGATATGAAAGGTTGAATATAATTTGTTAGAAGAAAAATAGAAGTGGATGGGTAATGGAGGAAAGGATATTCTTAGAGGAAATAGCCTGTGTTCCTCTGTGAAATGGGAATGATTAAGGTGAGAGAAGAAATGAAAGACCATGTGCCTATTAGCATAGAGGGCTGGAGATAATGTAGTACAAGAATATGGAAAGCTAGGTAGGATTCAGATCACGCAGGGCCTCATAAGCCACTTTAAGTATGTATCTGAAGAGTAAAGGAGAATAATTGAAGGGTTGAGAAAGAATTATATGAAGACATTTGTGTCTTTAATTTCACTCTAGGGGCATGATGGAATGGAATTCAGTGTTGTAGGAGTACGTATAAAGGGATTAGTTAGGAGGCAATTGCATTAGTTCATACAAGAGGTAATTGTGGCTTGGACTAGAGTGGCAGCATCAGAGGGTAAAGGTGGATGACTTATGCAAAACATACTTAGGAGATATAATTTAAAGGACTGATTAGATATGTGAGATGAAAGAGAAGAAGGGATCAAGGATAACACCACAGGTTTCTGGATTGAGTTGATATTAGGAGTAATGGAGGAGGGTCAGACTTGAGGAAATACTAATGAATTGAACTGTGGACATACTGAATTGGGGATCTGGGATCTTACTAAGTACCAGATGTTGTGCAAATACAATTATTGTTCCCATTTTACAAATGGGACAGCTATTAAGTGGGCAGAGCCAGGATTTCATGTTATTTTTTAAGAAGGGAGAGATATGAACGTTTTTAAATGTTGTTCAAAAGAATCCAGAGGAGAAAGAGATGTCAAAGATACTGGATATAAAAGGGATAATACCTAGTGTAGAGCTAATGAGGACATTGTTTTAGCCTGGGTACAGTGGCTCATGCCTGTAATCCCAGCACTTTGGGAGTCAGAGGTGAGAGGATTACTTGAGGCCAGGAGTTGAAGACTGGTCCGGGCAACATAAACAAGACTCCATTTCTACAAAAAAATAAAAAATGAGCTGGGGCTTGGTGGCATGCATGTATAGTCCCAGCTACTTGGGAGACTGGGGTGGATTGATTGCTGGAGTCCAGGAGTTTCAGGCTGCAGTGAGCCAAGATTTTGCCATCGCTGTCCAGCCTGGGTAACAGAGTGAGACCCCGTTTCAAACAAACAAACAAAAAATGTTTTCGATTTTGAACAGATTAAAAATATGGTATCTCTTCTATTTTATAGGAAGTGAGGAAGAGTGCATATGTGGGCTTGTTTGTGGATTTGATGTTAAGATAAGGGAAATTTCTCTTAATGGCTTTTGTTTTTTTGGCAAAATGGAAAAAGACTGAGATGTGAGATAGGGAGAATCGGGGAGAATTGAGGTTTAAGGACAGTAAAATTTCAAAATAGTCTGTGGAAAGTAGGGTAGATGAGTCAAATAATGATCCAGTGAGTAAATGAGAGTGAGTGAAGAAGACACTGTTCTTAATTTACCGAGTTAAAAATGATGTTTATATTATAACAACACAAGGTAAAAATCTAATTAAATGCTAAATGATATGATACTTCCAATAAACATAGAAAGGCAAAGAAGGGAAGGAGAGTAATGTGGCCTTCAGTCAATGGGAAAGATTTTATGGAGGAAGTAGAACTCAAGTTTGGCCTTGACACACATGTAGGTAAACTTACTTGATAGGAAGAACAACACAAGCCAAGTATGGAGTGGGTCCCTAGTGGTATTCTGTAATGATTTGGTTGACAATAATCCTTCTTTTATGTCAACATTTTAGTGAATATGGAGGTGAGACCATACCAGGACCTGCATTTAATCCAGCAAGTCATCCAGCTTCAGCTCCTACTTCCTCTTCTTCGGCGTTTCGACCTGTAATGCCATCCAGGCAGATTGTAGAAAGGCAGCCTCGGATGCTGGACTTCAGGGTTGAGTACAGAGACAGAAATGTTGATGTGGTACTTGAAGACAGCTGTACTGTTGGTAAGGTTTTTCCTGCCATAAAGCCTTCACAAATAGATGATTAGGTAAACATAGATTTTATACTTTTTAATTTCATGTTGACTATCAGTGCAAGAAGGGAAAAAAAGCAAGTTGAAACTGGTACCTTTCCAATACTGATTATTGTGCTTTATTTTTAAATACTGTGTTGAGATTGAGGTAAGTTTGAGAATAATGTTTTTTGTTCTATGCAAGTAGAATGGTATATGATGCTGTTTTAGGGCTGATGCAAATCAAACATCTGAGAGCTTCAAAAAAATACCCTTATCAAGTACATTGCATATCACACTTTACAACTGAGACTCACTCATTTTTCATAGGATATATCTTGATCCTTTTTGTGCTGCTATAACAATACCCGAGACTGGGTAATTTATAAGGAACAGAAATTTATTTTCTCACATTTCTGGAGGCTAAGAAATCTAAGATCAAGGCTTAGAAGGTTTGGTGTCTGGTGAGGGCTGCTCACTGTTTACAATATAGCACCTTGATGCTGCATCCTTCTAAGTGGGGAACATTGTGTTCTCACATGGCAGAAACCAGAAGGGCAAAAGGGACAGACTCCCTTCATCAAACTCTTTTTATAAGGGCACCTAATCCCATTAGCAAGCTCTCATTGCCTAATCATCTTTTAAAGGACCTGCATCTTAATACTACCACATAGACAATACCTGAATTTTGGTGGGGATACATTCAAACCATGACACTATGTTTAATGAGAAACCAAACATGAGACATGTTTCCATCACTTTTCTCTCTGCCAGTTGAAAAAATGCTATTTTTCAAAAGGAAGTGAAAGTATATGCCTGCCATTTCTGGACAGACTTTATGAAGTTACTATAGTTTAGCTATGTTGAACTTATATTTGATTCAGATTACCTGATCCATTTTCATTGTAGAACCACATATTAATTTTCTCTTAATGTGGTTTACCTTAAATCTGAATTCTAGATGTTTCTGGAAATTTCGCTTTATTCCTTTTAGGAGAGATCCTTTTCTAATTTTATTTTATTAATTGAGTCTTGGAAAGCAAGGCTGTTTTAAGAGTGTTCATTCCCAAACACTACTCAGATTATGTTATTACTTTTCTTAAAGCTATTCAAAAGCTTTCTATTGATTTTAGGATATAATTCAAATCTTTAACATGGCCTATAAGTCCCTGTTTGATGAAGCCCCTACCTGCATTTGTAGTTTCATCTATTACCACTCTCCTTCTAGTTCACTGTGCCTAAGCCATAATGGACTTATTTCAGTTTGCCAAATAGGTCTGGGCCTTTGTACTTGTTTCGTCTTCTATGTAGATTATTCTTCTAGATAAACCCCTTCTCCCTGTACCCATTTCCATGCCCCCAAATATTCTCCTGTATGTTGTTTTTTATTTTTAAAAAAATTATGGTAGAAAACAATATGAGATTTAGACTGTCAATAAATTTCTGAGTGTACAGCCTAAGATTGTTTATGCACTTTTTCATCTTACAAAGATTGTTTACGCACTTTTTCATCTTACATAACTGAAACTCTATACCCATTGGATAGCAATATTCCATTTTCCCCTCTCTCAAGCTCCTGGCAACTGCCATTCTATCTTCTGTTTCTATAAGTTTTGACTATAAATACCTCATAGAAGTGGAATAATGCAGTATTTGCCTGCTGTGATGGCTTATTTCACTTAGCATAATGTCCTCAATGCTTATATATGTTGTAGCGTATAGCAGGATTTTCTTCTTTTTTAAAACTGAACAATATTCCATTGTGTGTATATACCACATTATTTTTTATTCATTAACTTATCATAAATGGATATTTAGGTTGTTTCTACCTTTTGACTATTGTGAATAATGCTGCAGTGAACATGAGAATGTGATTCTTTTTTTTTTTTTTTGAGACAGGGTCTCATGCTGTCACTCAGGCTGGAGTGCAGTGGCGTGATCACGGCTCACTGTAGCCTCAAACTCTGGGCTCAAGCAGTCACCCTGCCTTGGCCTCCTGAGTAGCAGGACTATAGGTGCGTGCCACCATGGCTGGCTAATTTTTTTTTCTTTGTGGAGAAGGGATCTTACTTTCTTTCCCAGGCTGGGCTTGAACTCTTGGGCTCAAGTGATCCTTCTGCCTCAGACTCCCAAAGTGTTGGGATTATAGGCATGAGTCACCATGCCCAGCCATGGGAGTGTGAATATTTCATGGAAATCCTGGTTTCAGTTCTATTGGCAGTATGTTCAAAAGTGGGATTGCTGGATTAGATGGTAGTTTAATTTATAATTTTTTGAAGAACCTCCATACTGTTTCCTGTAGCAGCTACACCATTTTACATTCCAACCCCAACTTCGTTAACACTTATTATTTTCTGTTTTTCTTTTCTTTTATTTCTTTTTTTTTTTTTATAGTAGCCATCCTAAAAGATGTGAAGTGATAGCTGATTGTGGGTTTGATTTATATTTGTCTGATTAGTAATGTTGAGTATCTTTTCATATACCTGTTGGCCATTTGTGTGTCTTGTTTGGAGAAATGTCTGTTCAAGTCATTTGCCCATTTTTTAAATGGGTTATTTGATATTTTATTGTTGAGGTGTAGAAGTTTTTCTATATTTTGTGCTTTAACCCCTTATTAGATATATGGTTCGCACATATTTCCTCTCATTCTGTGGGTTACCTTTTTACTCTATTGTTTACTTTTCTGTGCAGAAGCTTTTTAATTTGATATAGTCTCACTTGTCTATTTTTTCTTTCATTGCCTCTGCTTTTGGAGTCATTTTCAAAAAACTATTGCCAAGATCAGTGTTATAAAGCATTTCCTCTCTGCTTTCTTCTAGGACTTTTATAGTTTCAAGTCTTTTTTTTTTTTTTTTTTTTTTGAGACAGGGTCTTGCTCTGTCACCCAGGCTGGAGGACAGTGGCAGAGTCTTTGCTCGTATAGTTTCAAGTCTTATGTTTAAGTCTTTAATTCACACAATGCAGTGAGATGATGTTTGTGTATGTTATGAGGTTCCAAATTCTTTTGTATGTGGATATCCAGTTTTCCCAGTACCATTTGTTGAAAAAACTATCCTTTCCACATTGTGGGGTCTTGGCACTCTTGTCAAAGATCATTTGACTGTATATTTGTGGGTTTATTTTTGGGATTTCTGTTTTGTTCCATTAGTTGGTGTGTCTGTCTTTATACCACTACCAAACTGATCGAATTACTCTAGCTTTGTAATATGTTTTGGAATTAGGAAGTAGGAGACCTCCAGCTTTGTTCTTCTCACAATTGTGTTTGGAGTTCCTTGTGGTTACTTATGGAATTTAGGATTATTTCCTTGTTTCTGCAAAAATACCATTGGCCTTTTGATAGGGATTGCATTGAATCTGCAAATCACTTTGGATAATATGGACATTTTAACAGTGTTAAGTTTTTCAGTCCATGACTATGGGACGCTTTTCCAGTGTCTTCTTTAATTTCTTTCAGCAAGGTTTTGTAGTTTTTAGTGGACAAGTCTTTTTTCTCTGGATAAGTTTATTCATAAGCATTTTATTCTTTTTGAAGCTATTATAAATGGTACTGTTTTCTTAATTTCCTTTTTAGATTGTTCAGTGTTAGTATATAGAAATGCAACGGATATTTATGTGTTGATTTTGCATCTTATAACAAGATTGATGAATTTTGTATTTATTAGTTCTAACAGTTTTGTTTTCTTTGGTAGAATCCTTAGTGTTTTCTACATATAATATCATGTTGTCTGTAAACAAAGATAGTTATATTTCTTCCTTTCCAATTTGGATGCCTTTTGTTTTTCTTGCCTAATTGTTCTAGCTAGGCTTTCCAGTACTACGTTGAATAGAAGTGGTGAGAAGTTATCCTAGCTTGTTCCTGATGTTAGAAGAAAACCTTTTAGTTCTTTTTTTTTTTTTTTTTTTGGAGACGGAGTCTTGCTCTGTCGCTGGGGCTGGAATGCAGTGGCCAGATCTCAGCTCACTGCAAGCTCCGCCTCCCGGGTTTAGGCCATTCTCCTGCCTCAGCCTCCCGTGTAGCTGGGACTACAGGTGCCCGTCACCTCGCCCAGCTAGTTTTTTGTATTTTTTAGTAGAGACGAGGTTTCACCGTGTTAGCCAGGATGGTCTCAATCTCCTGACCTCGTGATCTGCCCGTCTCGGCCTCCCAAAGTGCTGGGATTACAGGCTTTAGCCACTGCGCCCGGCCTGAAAACCTTTTAGTTCTTAACCCTTGAATATGATGTTAGCTGTGGGACTTTCATATATGGCTTTTATTATGTAGAAGTTATTTCCTTTTATTTCTAGTTTGTTCAGTATTATGAAAATATGTTGAATTTTGTCAAAAGCTTTTTGTTTATTGAGATGATTGTTTGACATTTATCCTTCTTGCTTTTAATGTGGTGTATCACATTGATTGATTTTCATTGGTGGTTGTTGTTGTTGTTTGTAAGATGGAGTCTCGCTCTGTCATCCAGGCTAGAGTGCAATGGTGTGATCTTGGCTCACTGCAACCTCTGCCTCCTGGGTTCAAGTGATTCTCATGCCTCAGCCTCCTCAGTAGCTGTGATTACAGGCACGCAGCTGCCACGCCTGGCTAATTTTTGTATTTTTAGTAGAGACGGGATTTCGTCATGTTGGTCAGGCTGTTCTCAAACTCCTGATTCCAAGTGATCCACCCACCTCAGCCTCCCAGAGTGCTGGGATTACACGTGTGAACCACCGCACCTGGCCGATTTTTATATGTTGAATAATCCTTTCATCCTAGGGATAAATCTCACTTTGCCCTGGTGTGTGATCCTTTTAATGTGCTGTTGAATTTAATTTCTCTAATAGTTTGTTGAGGATCTTTGCATCTGTATTTATCAGGGATATTGGACTATAGTTTTCTTTTCGTCTGATAGCTTCTTTGGCTTTGGTATTGATGTAATGCTGGCCTCATAAAAGAAATTAGGAAGTATAGCCTCCTTTGGCTTTTTGGAAGAGTGTGAGAAGGGTTGGCAGTAATTGTTTAAA